CTTGGCGTGCGGTCGTCTTACCATTACAGTGAATGGAGGAGACGTACTTATTCGCGTTTATATTACCCTTAATCATTAGTAATGACATTGAAATTGCTACTGCATCATACCAGATAAATGTGTTGTGCCTGGGTGCAAGAGTAATTAAGAAAGCTCGATTAAAACTGAAGGATACACGCAGTGTTTTAAGATTCCAAGTGATCCGGCGCGTAAGCAACAGTGGATTCGTGCTATTCCTCGGTCAGATTGGACACCTTCAAACAATACTCGTGTCTGCGTGAAACATTTTCACGAAGATGACCTTAGTTTTGTGGAAAATACAAGAATAAAGACGGTGATTGGTGCCAATATAGACGCAAGAAGCCAGTTTTAGGTGAGAATGTCGTACCTAGACTTTTTCCTAACTAACCTTCGTATCTTGATACACGAAAAACGACAAAGAGAAAGACTCCTGAAGAAAGAAGGAAGACAACAGGATGATGAAATTTGACTAGCAAAAGAAAACAAAATCGGGGACTTTACTTCATTTTGCAACAATTAAGGCTGTATATTAGCACATAATAAATAAATAATAATAATAAATTGACGCGTATAATTAGCGTCATTTTGCACATTATAATGAATGTGGGAAGCCATATGAAGGCCTAGCTTCTGGGATCGTTTCCACAATGGCAAACGTACAGTAGAACCTCTTTAATCCGAACCCCTGTAATCCGAACGTCCACTAATCCGAACCCCTCATTGCTGTACTCTATACACAGTACAGCAGTTCTTTATTGTATACTGTATTTAATTTACAGTACTGTTTATTCACCATGTTTACTACTGTATTAAATAAACACTGTATTTTACTTTATAAAACATTTTTCACTTTTCCCAAAATAATGTTGATCAATTTTAGCCATGTTTTAGCTATTGTTATGTATAAACAACAATATGTTCTGTAATCCGAACTATTCAATAGTCCGAACTACCCCTGGTCCCAATTAGTTCGGATTAAAGAGGTTCTACTGTATTGCTAAATGATTATTCAAAAGAAATAAATAATTCAGTCAGTAGGCCTTCAAACAAGAAAATAAAACTTAAAATTTTGTTGTAGCTATCTAGAATTATGTTTCGTCAAGTAGGTTAAAACAATAATATGAATATTTAAAATTGCAAAATAAATTATTTAAAAAAAACCAAGATATTTTTTATTTTACTCTTTCATTTGTAATTGGAAGTATTACAAGACATTTTCACATCCATTGTAATTTATTACAATACCTACAAGCAAACAAACATTATGTTTGTATTCTAGTACAAAAATCACTATTATATGCCATTTAAATATCTTTTTATTTCTATCTATAGAGCAGTAGAAACAGCATAACTCATTTAAGTTATAGCCTAGCGCTTGTGAAGACGGACCCAGAAGGGCTGTGATTGTGGCGTTGCCAGCTCGAACGTCGCGGCCTTGTATTAGAGGTGGCTGTGTATTTCCTTAACTATTTTCAAAACTGACTGTATATAAATTTTTTACCTGACACCCTTTTTGTATAGGTCTCTACTAATTTTTAAATCTTGAACTATGCAAACATAAGTATAACAGGAGATGCTCACGAAAAAATTAACAAAACTACTTTTGTTGCAAATATATTATTTGTGGGATATTGCAATGAGGATATTGTGGTATCATTTATATTAAGTATGTCAATGATTTATTTATTCCTGGATTCCATATATGATCAACTATTTAACTGAGTGTTTTCAGGGCTTTCAGAGACCTCCACTGAAAAGTGTAATGACAACCCGATCAGAGTTATACTACAAGACACATTGAACAGTTGATACAAGTCAATGTACGGTACGTTGGTTTTTGTTTAACTTTTGCATTTGTAAACCTTAAAAGATTTAATCACAATGCAGGAAAATATATTTACTGAACTCAAAAATGTATTGAGTCTTCAAAATATTATTGTATCAGGGCTGTAGCTAATAGATCGTAAGCATTGAAGAAGTCCTATTTAAATTTAACTTAAAAGCTGCAGCCTGAATTTGCAACCAATCTAGCGAGGTTTTATCTTGCAACCAGTAATCATTTTGGTCCTATCTTGCAACCATAATCAGCTGGGTCCTATTTCACAATCATTGATTGCTAAATAATTTTTTGCAACTATACTCCATTCACAAAATTTAGGTGGTTTTAGGGGAAGAAATCTGTCCCTTCCACTTGATCCTACCTTTAAAACAATAGCTGAGCAGCTGAGTTTTTTTTTAAACGCCAATCAGCTGCAACATATACATTAAGCAAAAAAGAAGTGGGGGGGACTTCCCCTTTAACCGCCTAAATTTTGTGAACGGAGTATAGCTAGTAAGCAGCTGATGGTCTTAACAAAATGTGTCTTAATTTTGGAATCAAATTATAAAGTGTAAGTCAGACTCAAGAGTGTTGACTGAATTTTGATGCAACCATAGATAAATTATACTCCCTTTAGTTCCTCATCCAAGGACCAGCTAAAGACAATTCCATTGTTTGTCCCATCCGGTGCTCTGTAGGGGTTGTGTTTTGTTAACAAACACAGTTTGTTTCTTATTATTTCAGTAATTTAAAACCTCGTTTAACCAAATAAAACGATCTAACCATAAACAATAACTCGTTCCCTAGTTATATAACCAAACAGTAAAGCACAAGTCATGAAATTAACCCTAAAATAATAGAAACAAAATTTTGTCAAGACTAACGATGAGTGTCACCAACATAAACTACACAACAAAAAACGAGCTTCAAAATTTACAATGGGATGAGAAGTCTACTTGTGTTGTAGTCTGATGCAACAAAGACAACACAATCATGTTGTGAATTTAAACCACAACTTTGACCACTGATGATGTTGTTTAATTGACTTTTTGTAAAAATTTGATTTTAACTATTTACAGATGTAATTTTATATAACTTAATAATAATAGGTATGAAAAAGGGTAATCATTTCATTAATGTTAAACTAATTTATTTATACTTTTACCTTATTTATTTTATTTTTCAGTCCTGTTTCACCAAGGATAAGGGCAAACCTAGGAAAAAGCTGAACTACTGCCAAAAGCAAGTTGGAAATCTCATATGATATTAAGTGCAATTTTTTAGACTTGAAGAGTTTTAATAGTAAAAAAATAAGTGTTCATATCTATAAAAGAGAGACTGAAGTGTTATGTTTTTTTTTTTCAAGTTTAAGAACGTTACCTATGTATTTATAAAGAAAAGTTGTTTGCTTAAGTAAAAAGTTCAAAAAAGTCAAATAGTTTTATATGTGTTTGATTCACAAATAATTGAACTTACCACTCCTTGGCCACTGAAACCTTAGGGTTTTGGCCTCGCCAACGATGCCTCTCCACTGCTCTCTATCTTCAGCTGCCTCGGGGGTGGTTCCTAATACTGCTAAATCCCTCAGCACCTGGCTCTTCCATTGAAGTCTCAGCCTGCCGAGTGGTCTCCTGTCTTCTGGGTTGTACTGATCTACAGTTTTAATTATAGACTTAACTTCTTGTTCCTGACTCATTCTAGAGGAGTCTACGTCACAGTCCACAACGGGATGGCGAGGAGTTTGTGTTGTTGTGCAAGTGATTCTGTGAGGGAAACTTGAAGTCCGCATTTCGCGAAGTCTAGGAAAACACTAGTCCGTCTTTGTCTGCGGTGCGGTCTAAAAATGCATTGAACCCCGCACCCCACTGTTGCGTATACCCCTCAGCTAGGAAAACCCGCCTTTAGTTCTCTGTTCTTTCGGATTCTCCACCCTAATTCATTTTGTACCAGTCCATATGTCCTTCTCAGTCAGTATCTTATTTTCAAGAAACTACTAGAAAGCAAAACCCGGTGTTGCCCGGGTCAAAATAAAATTTACAATAATGGCAATAAAATATGTTTTGATTAGGCAATACAGTATCTTGAACTAAACTGATACAAACGATCAATATCTAAAATGAAAGCCTTTATTTCTATGTGAGTATTTTAAGATCAAGACATATAAAATAAATAACGAAAATGAAAATGGAGTATCATTGCTTGCATATAAGTCCTAAAATAATAATTATTATTGTTGATTCGTGCAGCAGTGTGCTTCAGGTACGTTGAATCTAAATAACCAATCACTCAAATGAAAGCTGGTATTTCACTGAAGGTTCTTAGTCCAATACTTAAGATAATATCATTAGAACGGGTGAAACTCATCTTTAATTAAAGTAAGAATTTGAAAAAAAAATTTATGTTTTTTTTTCGGTCGAGTAACACAGTAGATAAATGAATGATCATGCTTGATGGCAAATCTGTGTGTGCAATGTGCATACCTTTTAATTTAAGACAAAAATTATTAATATCCAAGTTAAAATCTAATTTAAATTTATATAGCAGCAACAAAAGTTTTATTTCTCCAAAAAGTTCCACCCCCCAGAGCCTTCCGCTCTGGAGTGACTGCTCCGCTCACTCCACGATCGCTAAGCCACTGTCACAGCAATTGCAATCCAAGCAAATCTCCAGTTAGTTAATGTTTTTCGAATAAAGTTTTTACGAGGTTCACAAACAACATTACCTCAATAAGAATATATATTTTGTTTATAACCTAGGTTTCAGCCTGTGTCACAACCAAATTTAGGTCTTTCCACTTAATAACAACTCCATATAATACAAGTTTGTTGTAGTTTTGTTATACATACATCATCATTACGTTAATAACCTATTTTAAGGTGAATATAAATGCAATGTGAATATAGAACGGAGTCAGATAATCTTTGTGGCTTTTTTCTAACTAAAGGCAACGGTTCTTTTACCCAGTGTCATTTATTTAGCCCCAATGATCAGGGACAGCTTGTTCCAGTTTCAAACCATCAAAAAGATAACAACTTTTCTCAGGATCGCACCGGCACTTTTGGAATGCTAAGGGATAACTATAACCCAGCCAGTTAGTTGTGTTTACTGTTAATTGATAGTACTAATTGATTTAATTTAAATGGATAAATAAAACATCCAGTCAGACTGGGCTAACATATTTATTTACAAAAAATAATACCAAACATGTTAACCAACAAAAGAAAACGGCCGGATGTAATAATCAAATACACATTAAATACACTCGCCCAATCTTAAGATACACCCATATACATATTTTAGAGAACCAATTATGATCTTGGTGCCTGAACATCTTTATAATACAATTTATTGTTTTTACATATGAATATAATTAATTCAGTAGTACGTGATTTTGTAGCGATGCAATTGATTCATAAGGCCAATGGGCACTCTTCAGTAAATATATACATACTTTGAATAAAAAACAAAAAGTTATAGATCGTGCTGGTTATAGTGGCGAGCAGGATGTGCTTGACCACAAGAACTATTTCCTCACAACCGTCACATGTGTTATTTTGTAGTAATTTCAACAATTAATTGGATTATTGTTGTCTCTCTTAGTTGTGGAACTTTCCTCGTCCCTTCCTATACACCATCTCAAACAACATGATCTATACCTCTATTTAATTTATATTCAAGTAGCATATATTTGAGTGTGACGAAAACAAAAGTTTTTGTGATATATTTATTTACTAAAGAATTAAGAGATTTAAGGAAAAATAATTTTTATATTATAATTTTAACTCTTGTTTAAGATTGTTTCAAACAATCCCCTTTAAGCATCGCTAATAAATTTAACTTGTTCGTCATGGTTAAAATTGTATGATTTGTGCTACTTAAAATATGTTCATCAATCCTCATTGAACACTAGCTGGCTCAAGCCAGGCAAACTGATCACAATAATTAACTAAGCTGCATAACAAATTGAAGTCAAAATAAACAAGTTTAAATCAACTATAAATTTATATATTCTGAAAATGTACATCATGTGCTAGTTACGAGGGAAGAGGGAGGAGGCGGGGGTTGCGACCAGGACTCGAGAAGTGCAGTTGCTCCTGGTATCAGATCTGGAACAAAGATAAGAACAAATTGGTAACAAACTGTAATTAACTGTTTCTTAATTCTTTAAACCTGTTGGTATGATAGGTCGCAGTATATCTTATGATATTATAAATCTGAAAGTTTATGAGTTTGTGTGTGTGTGTGTGTGTGTTGCTCAATCACGCATAAACTACTGGACGGATTGGGCTGAAATTTGGCATGATGATAGCTCACATTCCCGATTAACATTAAAGCATATTCTTATCTCAAAAATCCTTTCGGGCTCCGCCCCAGTGGCTCTGTAGTTCCCCATGTTAACCTTATGATTTTTCATATTTAAAAGGAATTAATGAATCTTAACAGCTGTTTCAATTAAACAAGTTGGTTCTGTTCTATGATGGTCAATAGCATAAAAGTTACAATGATTACCAACAGGGTGCAGCACTATTATTTTTTAAATTTATGACAACAGCTAATTTTCAACCAAAAGGTGAGTGAGCGTAGCGAACGAACTTCAACCTGGAGGCGAGTTAGCGTAGCGAACGAGCTAACCTGAAGGCAAGTGAGCGCAGCGAACAAGCTCCAACCTAAAGGTGAGTGAGCGTAGCGAACAAACTTCAACCAGGACGTGAATGAGCCATGCGAATACTTATGAAGTTAAACGGGGCAAAGCCCGCGGGTACAGCTAGTTTCAACTATATACAAAAGTTTTAATTTAGCCAGAGGTTACAGTGCTGGCATGAAATCCGGAGGTTGCTGGTTCCATCTAAAGCGGAACCAGTTCCGGACCTAGATGACATTTGTCGTAGGGCTATTAATGATTCCGTCTATCAAAATGTCAATGTTAGATGACCAGGGCATTGCCGTTGCCTTACAAAGACTTTCAAAAAAGCCCAATACTGTCGGAAAACACTGTGATAACTTATGCAACTTTACAATAATCTTATAATAGTCAACCTTTTCTAAACAATTCATGGCCTCTGTTATATTAAAATGAACCAACACCAACCGTTTGAATTTGGAATAAATTGAAATTTGTTATATAAACATTCAGTCAGGGGTGCTCACCCCCCCCCCCACCCATAAACTCTATATCGCAGAATACTTCCAAAATTTGTTGTTCAACTCATGCCCAGAAAGTTTAGTGGTATCCCCCAGATAGAATACGGGTCCTCCCAAAAGTATTATTTGATTAGGCTGCAAATTTTTTTTTTTTTAGCTTTAAAATGAAACTTTTATTGCACTTTTGTACACTTTTTGACTGGGTGTTTTAATCGTGTAAAACATATCACAATTAAAACAATATCAGCTATCTGGCACATACTTGTACCCTAGCTTAACAATAACTCTTCTGTTGTAAGTGTAAGCAATGAGTAATTATTATCAATTTTAATTCATTCATTTTTACCGTAACAGTTATGTGACATAATTAATGAATTTGGAATGGTAAATAAGCTTGTAGCTGTTTTAACCCTTGTTTCTTGCTACTCTGACTGTTTAATTCTCACTTGTTTTGTAACCGGTCCCATTTCAAGACAAGGTTTCAATCGTTTCTCTAACAAAACATAATTTTAACGCCACAAAAAAAAAGAATTTGAAAAACTTTAGTAGTTCAACTTACATTATCGACAGGATCGCCCTCCCCTTCGTCGCTGATCTCGTCTCCGAACTCGATGTCTTCATCAAAGCCGTCCTCCACGAATGTGACAGTGTCGTTGATACGCACTGTAACAAAGAAAGATTTCAGAACTGGCACTAAATAAACCAGCTTACATAAAAATATATCTCACCTTACATTTTGTTCCTTGTTTTTACTTCTTTGCCAAGTAACAATTTCCGAACAGATTACTATTAAACATGTATAGTTTACGTGCAATCTACTCAAATCATCTTTCTGAAATTCATACACATGGGGAAAATTATAACATTGTTAAGCCTCCATACGAAACATTAATAGGCTATAGTAAAAAAATGTAACGTTGGATTTTAGTTAAGTATATAGGCCTCCTGCAGGCCTATATACTTCTACCGTCTATCCTACTAACTGAAAAAAAAAACAGAACTCAATTTACTTTAAAACTACGGTAACACAAAATAATGTCCACAGCAATAAAAGACTCATTATAAATAGAAAAATTACAGACTCACTGGAAAACGAAATAAAGTTTCAAACAAAACCAACCTGTCTCTGGGAACTCTCCGTATGTTTTGAGATTCCTTGCCTCGTCTGGTGTATATTTCAGAATAACATCAGCTTTGGCATCTTGGTAGTCTCTTAAACCAATGAGGATGATATCTCCTTGGTTTATCCATACCTTTAAACAAAATAATAGTTTAGTAAAATAGTTTAATTCATTTTGCACAAAGCTTTAACTATAATTACATCAATGACTGCAAAGAAATGACTTGAGCCAGTAAAAAATTCCCTAGAAAAAACATTTCATAAAAAGCACTTATAGCCTAATGTGTATCCGTATCCTACTGTAAAAATTGGTTCTCCCTTAAGTTATAAATAATTTACAAACTTGAATTTGCTTTCAAAACTGTTTAAGAACAGCAACGCCAAGTGCATACACCGGTAGAACAATCGAGGCAATATCCACGATGATTTCCCATGATCGCAGCAAAATTTCTGATCACCTCCAGCAATCATGGGAACATCCGTAATCATATACAGCGATATACATGTCATCTTAATAATTTCCCACGGTCATAATAATAAGGTAACTGTGATGATCTACAATTGTGACAACATCCATGATCATCTGCAGGGATCATGGCAACATCCGTATTGATTTCCTGCAGTCGTGGACACATCTGTGATGATTTTGCCGTCATTTGGGGCAAAATTTGTCATAATCTCCAGCTATCATAATAACACTTGTAGGCCCTATTCATTTCCTGTGATCATACCCAGTACCATGTCTACACAGCTTTAATCAAGAATCAAGAATATTTATTGTCATTAAAACACAAAAAACAGTGTATTGACAATCGTCACAACTTAGATCTAACATGAAATATACAATGTCAAGTGAAATGCATATACAAATATACATACATAGTTATATAATAAGAGAATAAACAAAATTGTTTAATACATAATCAAAATCTTAACACTAGACCTCAAAATTTTTTTGCATTGAATAACATGAGTGGAACTGAAATTTAGATAGATTGATCGAAAGATTTAATTGTACATTTCCCAGCATATCTCAAAAAAGTCTTCAATTGTATAGAGTCGCTCATTAATGAGTACATTTTTTATTTTATTTTTGAATTTAGTTTCTGGCAGTGACTTTATATTTTTTGGTAAAGAATTATAGAGCTTGGTTGACAAATACAACCAGTTTTTCTGTGAAGCAGCATACTTAAATTGTTGAACTCTTAAATTGCATTTGTTTCTTGTATTATAGGAATGAAAATCAGCATTAATACTAAATGAGTCTAAATTTGAGGGACATAGCACAGAGAGTGTAATACATAAAGAGAGTAGAGAGTTAAGACACGTAAATTTACAAATAAGGATTTACAAGACTTTCTATAAGGGACATTACAAACTAACCTAATTGCTCTTTTTTGCAAAATAAAAAGTTTTTTGCAATATGAACTAGCTCCCCATAAAACAATACCATATGTTAAAATACTATGGATTTGTGCATAATAAACATTTAACAATACATAGTTATCAACACAGTGCCTTAACCTTCTAAGCATATATAAACCCTTGGACAATCTCTTAGCAATAAAATCTACATGGAAGCTCCAGGACAGTTTAGAATCCAACCAAATACCTAAAAACTTTAAAACATTGTTTTCTGAAGTATTACCAACATTTTTATTGTAGCTAAAATACAAGTCATAAATTTTCTCCGTATTAAGAGATAGATAGTTAGCAGCACACCAGTCCTGGAGAGTCAAAAGACTAGAATCAAGTTTGTCTACTATACCTTGCTTTGAGTTATCAACAATTTTTAAACCAAGGTCATCTGCAAATAAAAAGCCATCGATGCCTATTCTCTCAACACTAATCGGTAGATCATTAATATAGATATTAAACAAGATTGGTCCAAGTATAGAGCCTTGTGGCACACCATACTCTACCAGTCTGCCCCTTGAAAAAGTTCCATCCTTAAATACAAACTGAGTCCGGTTCGTTAAATAAGACATTATGAGATTTACCGAATTAAGGTCAAATCTATAAAAAAGCAATTTTTTTCCAAAATATCATGTTGAACTGTGTCAAACGCTTTTGACATATCAAAAGATCTGAAATTTACTCTATTTGATTTTTCCAAGTCGCTAACAACATTTTCAACCAACTTTATGACAGCATTTGATGTACTTCTGTGTGGCCTGAAGCCATACTGATTGTCAGTGAATATGCTATATTTTTCAAAATGTTTTGAAATTTGTTTATGTAACAGAGATTCAAAAAATAATAATAACTTAGATGATATACTGTAACGTGAATTATGATTGCATCAGCTTAAATGATACTTTCTTATGATCTCTGTGACACCCACGAGCTTCATGATTCACTTTTATTTTCACTAATGTCCGCCAATTGATCGTTTTCCGTTTTTATGTGTAATTTAATTTTATGTATGTACGGTACCTGATTCAAACTGTAAGACTTGTAATGGGGAATATCAAGATCTTATATGAGGACTGACGATGGTGATTTAATCACCCGAAAGGCATGTCCTGTAAAGGATAATTGATACGATTGGCGGTCATCAGGTAATTTATGCTAAACCTTTTGAGGCTAAATCAAGATCACTTTGAGCAACCTTCAATTCATTACTTTACAATACAATGTGAAAAGAAACAAAACAGTGATATTTAAAAGATTTTACTGCAGGTTAACACAACTAACAGTTTTTGGTCCTAACATATGATAACTTAATTGTTTCAATCGTCGTAGATTATGGACCCGGAGTTCTATGGTTATGGACCATAGAATATTGAAAATCTAAATAAGTTAGGAATTTTTAAGGTTCAAAACCTTATTTCACGGGTTTTAAGTTTAAAAGCTTATTTCACGCTTCAGTGGGTATCCTAGACGTTTTTGAATACAAAACTGGAATTTTTTTTAAGAGGTTGGCGACCTCTTTTAACCTTGCATTTGCCCGTCCACATAGACTACAGATCTGTGCGTGGAACGTATTCAGCAAAGCAAGGGGTGAGCCAGTACAGTACAAAGGTGAACTGTAGGCCTACTGATAAATTTTAGTGGCAGTGACCAGCATCCAAACCCACGACATCGCTGCCTTGGACCCGAAGTCCGTGACACTACCAACTGAGCCACCGACTCACGAAATCAATTTCAATTTTCAATTTTAAAACCAAACTAAAAAAATATATTATAAAACTTTCAATAAGTAAGCTCTTTTTTAAAAACTTCTCATTACCTTCTTCCGGAGCTTTCCTCGGATGTGACATAATCGCTTGATTCCATCAAAACACATGGCTTCAAGGCGTCCATTTCCAAGCATTTTTGTAACTTGAGCGTATTCTGTAAAACACACTTAAGATATGAGGATCCACCACACATTTTGGATGAATTATATTTTATCAAAACAGGTTTGTCTAGTCTATTTTTGGTAGATAATACGAGGTTTTCATTAATTGAAAGGGATTTAACAACATTTTAAATAGGTAGGTCTACAATGTTTAAAACCGGCACAGGTGTCGAAGCATCTGGGTATATAGAAACCTTGCTACTTGTCTGATCTAGGATTTAAATTAATCAAAAACAAGTTTACCTTGCTCAAAGTAGCAGAATATCAAACGTTTTAACCGCTGGTTATTTAGGATTTTAATTAGGGATGGTCAAGTCTCGAAATTTCGGGAAATTTTAAATCTCGTTACACGAGACAAGATTTCTTTTTGGCCGAGATTTTTATCGAGACGAGAATTAAAAATTTTTTTTTTTTTAAATTAAAAACGCCTGCAGAAAGTCAATGCAATACCCGCAATACAGGAGCGTGTTGTAGTTGCGTTTCCTTTGCGAAGGCGTTCTTATTTAATTAATTCTTTAAATGTAAATATTACTTTAATAACATTTGAGAAGTTTTGTTAAGTATAAGCAGTGTGAGGAATGTTTTATTACTATAAAAGTCAAAACAAGTAACTATTTTATAAAAATTAATATTGCTTTTATTTTATGATTTATTTTATTTTAGGATAAGTTGAACTCTATCCTAAATGATATCACTATGATTCCTAATCGTAGGCATTTTTAATAAGTTAGGCGTGATTAATAAAAAAAATGTTATGCTGATGTTTTTTAATAAAAGATTGTAAATATTCTTGCCTATTATCATTATTTTTGTATTTAAACAGTCTTCTAACAATGTTACAAAATCAGGTAAAAATTTTGAACGTGCATTTCCCGTTGTGTATGAGAAGGGAAATCCCGTCTCGATCTCGTCTCGAAATTTTATGAGAAATAAAAAATCTCGTCTCGAACTAAAAATCCAATTTCGTCCATCCCTAATTTTAATTTTGGGCTTTGAAATAAATATAAGTTAAAAATTTACAGCGTCTTATGAGATTAGTTGGTTGAGATCTGCTCATTTAATACAAGAGAGAGGTTGATCTATTACAATAACATGGGACAAAGAAAGCCTATGGAGAAAAAGCCCTAATGTATTTTATTCAACCCACAAAAGACACTTTTAGGTGGTATAAGGGCATTAATTTTTTGCTAATTTTAAGTAGGTAGCCTAAACCTAATTAATTTTAGAAAAAAATATTTATAAAGCTGAACTTTATCAACTAAAATGTAAAAACACCTTGGGAAAATAAGAAATGTTTACAGGCAATGGGGTAAGGCTGATCATGTAAAGGGGGTGTAGTCAGTCTAGTTGGTTAGGCCTAACCACCATAAAAAGTTAATACAGTAGAACCTCTTTAATGCGAACCCCCGTAATCCGAACGTCCACTAATCCGAACCCCTCATTGCTGTACTCTATACACAGTAGCCTACAGCAGTTCTTTATTGTATACTGTATTTAATGTACAGTACTGTTTATTCACCATGTTTACTACTGTATTAAATAAACACTATTTTAATTTATAAAACATTTTTTTTACTTTTCCCAAAATAATTTAGATCAATTTTAGCCATGTTTTAGCTATTTTTATGTAAAAACAACAATTTGTTCTGTAATCCGAACTATTCACTAGTCCGAACTACCTCTGGTCCCAATTAGTTCGGATTAAAGAGGTTCTACTGTAGTTGGTTATAAGCATGATATTTACTGAGAAAAAAATATTGTTTATCATAGAGAATAGATTAAATTCAGTTAGCCTAACTATAATAAGAAAACATACCTTGTCCATCCTCTTTGAAAACCAACTCACGCTTCTCTGTTTCATTTTCATTCTTACCCCTTCTGCGGTTTTTACCTCCCTTTCCTAAAACAGAAAGACTATGGTAAAAAACTTAAACCAGGCTTAAAATTTTGAATGAAAATACAAAAATGTAATGGCAAAGAGTGTACAACTTACGGTTTGTTAATATTTTACTCTATTCTACACACATTGTGGCTTCTTCTGGTCCTTCTGCTCTTAATGTGGTAATTTACATTGATTAATCTACAAATTTTTTAAATAAAAAAAAAATGCAAATGTAAATAATACAGTTGTGTTATTATTTAGGGCTAAGCTTAATTACTACTGTTTAACCAAGCTTAGCATGATGGCAGGAGGTTGTCAGATGCTCATAACGGACGGTTGATAAGTTACTGGTTTCTGTAATCCACAAAATCGTAAGAAAATGTTTGGGCCTGGTCTAAGTAAATGAGCTGGCGTTTTTGCCAAATAAACATCATGTATCATCAAGGTTGTGTATGCCTACACAAGTTACTTTAAGGGCTACAGGTTTAGAAAATAACTGAATAATGAATTTGAATATAGATTAACCTAAAGTTTTTAGAAAATAATTGCTAAGGTTGACTAAGTAGGCCTAAAGCGGGGTTTACACTATCCGTTCCAGTTCTTTGTCCCGAAAACCCTGTCAATGTTCTCCCACCTGGCCAACAGGGACAGAGAGTTCTATTTAGACGACCCGTTCTCTGCGCCCTATCTGAGTTCAGTGTGTTGCTTTCCTTCATTGAAGAATGTCATAAATTAATTCAAAAGTTGTTTTTTTTTTTACATTTTCTAAGTGCAATGTAAACTTAATGGCTCCATATTTAACAAAGCGGCAAGTTGTTAGAGTAGTATTTAACGGCATTGGTAGCGTGCAAGAAAGGAGGAAAACGAGGATATGGATGAAACAGAAAGGAACTTACTTCCGAAGACCTATACTGAGACATACAAGACTTCTGGACATATTGGATGCTGAAGACCTTCGAAATTTCTCGCATATGATATGACACCCGCGATTTTCACAATATGATGACCTCAAATAAAAAAATACCTCCGCCGCAGCAAACCTTCTGACTGAGCGAATTTCCCTTAGTCTGAATTGGTTTTCAATTAAATATATAAATAATGTTAGTTTTAACGAGTACACTAGGTTTGCTGCTACATGGAAACTAATGAAGTGTGTTTTAGTAAAATATTAATAGCTTTGTATAAAATAAATAAACTTGCCAAGTTTGATTAAAATATATCCATAAACAAGCAAACTAAAACATTTTACAATATAAAATAATAGGTACCCATAAGAATAATATGGGAATTTAGGATTTAAAATTTTTTGAATTTTTTCCATTAGGCTACCAATTACCCGAACAAAAACACTGATTTATGCTAAATTATTTGTTTTCAAGTCCTTTCTAAAGGTCTAGAGAGACATTCAGGAAATTTTGCGTTTTTAGGGTCAAAAATTAAAAAAACATTTTTTACCCTATAAAACCACTTCCCATTGTCCAATCATGCTGGTTTGCGAACTCATCCAAGTTTATCCCACCTTAAACCTTTAAAATAAATTATACATTAAAATCGGACAAAAATTACTCAAGTTATCGCGTTCACTGACGTGTAGGCCTATATTTATATAGGCTATATACCGTACTTCTGTACGGTACCGTACAGTACATTATACATACATTACTGTACCTTTGTAAGTAGGCCTATATAACTTTCTTATAGAACAATTTTGAACGATTAGTGTCTTTGGCCTCTGGGGACATCAAAATGAAAAAGTAAATCGGTCCCGGACCTAGGTCTTAACATGCCTACAGTAATTAATAGCTAACTTACCTACTTCCCTATAGGGAAATTCGCTAAAATAGTAGGCCTACAGTTAAGCTTGAAGCAGTGAAGACTTTCGGATTTCACGTCCAGTTCCTAGAGGAAGGTCACTATCCCCACGTTTCCTCCCTAAATCGGATGGAAATCTCTCCTGACCTCCCGAATCTGGTCACCGGCCAAAACGTGACCAGGAGCACTAATTTACATGATCGGATTTCAGGGCCGACATCGATCGGGCTCGATTTAAGGTCCCGAGATCGGGTCATATTAAACTGGGCTTAACTTGGACCTCACTTTTGTGCACTTCTGACAGGCCCAAAGTAGGCTAGGACAACTTATGAAAATTGCTGTATTGTGAAATAAGTTCTTTAAAAGAGATAATTTGCTATTTCTTGGCACTTCTCATTCAAGGTGGGTTGTCTAGGCTAGGCCTATGTGGATTAGAATTAGTTAGATTGTTTGATGAACCTACCAAGTTAACTTAACTTAACTAACATCTATCAAGAAACTGACTTAGATGGTAACAATTTCAATTGGAGCTAAAAGATTGGCGCCAACTAATAACTTATTAATAACTGTCCAGACAGCCTTGAAAATTTGAAGTTGAAGGTGTAGGTAGATGGTTTAACAGAGTTCATTAATTGTAGAGAAGATAGCATGGTTTTTGGTCTTTCTAAGTATGTATTTTTGCATCGTTTACACTGTAAGTTATGTAAAAAAAACAATAAGTTAACCTTTAAGACTTTTAACTTCATTTCAGTAAATATTTACCAAGATTTAATAAACAAATAAGTTAAAAGGAAATTAACTGGCTGCACTTTACTTTAGGTCCTACACTCATTCGATTGAAAATATCGATCGATACTTATCGATTAATCAATTGTTTCATTCGATATATCGTTTGGTTAGTTAGGTAAGGTTGGTAACCTAACCTAACTAACCAAACGATATGTCGAATGAAACAATCGAATAATCGATATTTTCATTCGAATGAGTGTAGGACCTAAAGTAAAGTGCAGCCAATTAACTCTAGTAAAGTTTACCTAAGTAAGTTTCTATTTTTGGCCCTGGTTCACTTTTTAAATTTCATTTTAACCTTATCAAATAGACTACCTACACTCAGAAAGTTACACCTTCACATAAGTTTGACAATAAGTTAAGTTAGGCTTAGGTAACTTATTCATCTAAGACAGAATGGTAATATTTTGTTCATGGTTCAAAAAGAATATATGAACTTGACAGAAGACCTCGGTAATGAAAATGGAGGTTGTGAAATTTTCCTTTATTTGAAAAGCCTAGAGGGTGAGTTCATGGTGACAGGTCTTACTTCATAATTGCGTTGCTTTTAACACTGAATGTTAAACAAAATTATGTATTGAACCAGAAATCGATGAATATTTAACATTGGGCAGTTTGTGTTGCATATCCTAGACTAATTGATCGGGAAATCGATGTTACAACAGAAAATGATGGATAAGAAAATACAGAAAGTTCAGTTTGTCAAGTCCACAACTGGAGTCTAATTACTTTGTATCAGGGCAAAGATGATAAAATGTAATGTAAAAATAAGTATGTAGAATCTTACCCTTGTTCTTCGGCATTCCAAATAAGCTTTATTGGACTTGTGGTTACTTAAAATATGCAACAAATCACCTGAAGTAAACAACTATCTCGTCAACAGCATTACGCCAAACTCCATAAAGGAAGTAAAAGTTGGATGGATGGATGGAGTGGGGAAGGGTGGGAGTGGAGTGGAGTTGAGCAGACAGATAGATCACCACGCAAGTCAAAAAGAATGGTTAATTTGGAAAAATAAATATCAATAATAATTTTGGCTTTTTAGTTTTTACCACAAAAGAGCTAAACAACTTCAAATTTTTTTGTATCAAAATGTTTGATTATGTTTAGGGATTAGACCAAATTATAAGATATGACAAGAAATTTAAAAATTAATTTAGTAATGATTGGTTATAAAATAAACTCTAAACACATTTCTATGATTTCATAATTTTTCCAGATGTATTTTACTACCATTCTATATTTATTTACATATTTCTGAATAAAATTCATTTTGTTGATCATAGCACAACAACTGGCTGCTTAGCTGACGGATGGCATTGTAATTATGAGCATTGATTAAGCACTATTACATTTTTATTTACCTATTTGTGCCTGAACAATGTTAATCACTCTATGCGCATTTTGCAGCTAAGTGCGGCATCTTCATGGAGCTTTTCCTCTTACACTAATTTCTTACACAATATACACATATTTACAATATATATCTTATTGTTCACTTCGCGGCCGCGGTTGCCCTGCGACTGCAACACGAGCAGCAGGGTACATATTCGTTACGGTCGGCACTGTTACCCTTGACCACAGACAATAGACCACCAGAATAATTGTCTATTCTCTTTGCCTTAACCCAGTACGAGTCAGTCCCATCATCAGTGCCACCGACGACCGTAACGTATTAGCGAATTTACCTATAGGGAAGTAGCTATTACCGACATTACCGTAGGTCTCATTGTAAGACTTGAGCCCGGGACCGATTTACTTTTGATAAAATTTTGTTTGAAAGGTGTAAGGTGGAATAAACTTGAATGAGTTCGTAAACCAGCATGATCGAACCACGGGGACGGGGTTTTCGTAATTCATCTGACCTTGCAATTCCTAATCACTCAACGTCATTCTTCCAAAAGAATATTCAATACAATGCCTTCAAGCTTTTTAATAACCTCCCTCCTTCCCTAAAGACCGAACAGGATAGAAATATAACCAGAAAAGGCTAAAGAATTGTTTGCTGGATAATGCTTCTGCAGCGTTTGAGTTTCTTTGCCCTAGAACTGGTAGTGTAAATACAGTAGCATGGTTGGCAGTTTTAATTTAGATAAGAGATTTTTTTAGTTAATTGAAATACTTAATTATGTTTTGACGAAGCTATAATGCATTTTTTGTTTTGCTAAATAAACGACTTTATGACTTAAGCTTATGAGTGAGCTCAAATTTATGGGGCACAGATTGTTATAACTACTAATAGACTATATTACAGCCTTAACATTTCAGAGTACTTTATAAATTAACAGCAGATCATAGAATTTGTAATTAGTTTTTGAATTGTTATTGTTCATCTTTGTCATAATATTAGTTTGATCTTATTTACCATTTATTATTTAGAATGAGCTATAACACTTAACCATGGCTAAAACATACTCCCATAGTGAGTGTGCTTGTGTTATTTAGTCTATGACTTAACGTGATTATAGTACATTTTCGATATTTGTATTTTTGATTTATAACACTTCGGAAATTTACTTTAGTGGACCTTGGGTTGGGATCTTGTATCTCCATGGTTTCCATGGTCGCGCGAAACTTCATCTTGATTGTTTATTTATATTATATCAACAAAGATTATATTCGTATTGTCAATAATTCTAGTGTCGTCTTATGATTAAGTTATTGTCTTTTTAGCTAACATATAGTTTTAATAAAAATACACCGCGAGTTCTAATCAATGCTACTTTTTCACCTAAATTCTTGAACTACCAATATATCTAAAATTAAGAACAGTTGTGAATATTGTAATAGGTTAACTTGTTCCCCTGACCCCTATACACCTAGATTAGGACCATTGACTACCTAAAGGTAGGTTTATAGTAATGCTAGGACTTAAGCATTAGTTACTTTCAATGACCAATCAACTAAATACAGTTCAGTTATATAAAGGGTATTCAATCTACCTACTTACCACAACTCTTCTATTAGCAAGAGGTTATATTAAGTACATGCAGGTTGGTAACAACTTATTTTATTTATTTATTAATTTTTGGTAGCTTATTAATACATCTAGTTAATGTTGTCTAGATCTACTAGTTAATATAATAGCATTCTATTCATACATAAGCTGCAAGAACATCTTCAATTAGTACCTTACTTAACACAACATGGCCTTGTTAGTTAAGAAAGATGATAGGCTAACTCAAATGAGATAGCAGAGAACATAAAGAATCAGGTTTTTAATAATGAAGTACAGGTAGTCCTTATTATCCAGGTTACATTTCTTATTTTCTCTGACTTATTTGATTAGGCCTAATTATTATCTGGGAAACCAAGTGGTTATGCCGACAAATCTGTAGGTTGCCAGTTTGATTCAAAGTGTGATTGTTTCCATATACATGTTTTAAAGGCAATAAAAGTTTGTCATTTGTCATTTGTCATACCTAACTTTGTATGCCATTTGCCATTATTTGGGCTAGTATAAACTAATGTTGCTATCTAAAAAAAAGTTCAACGTTAGAGAGGAACAAGACTAGGGTTGGATTATTCCCTTACAAAAAATTCCCCTGTTGTCAAAGTAAAACCTGAAATTATGTGTTCTTACGTTATGTCATATAAAGTTGTACATTATTATACCTAACAACAGCTTATCTTCATCCAAACTTTGGTTAATCATTGATAAGTTGACACTAAAACTTATCTTACACTAGCACCAGGCCTGCTAAAATATATATATAACTTAGTCTAACTTAACTTATGTCTTATGTAACTTATGTTATAACTTCATTTAAAAATGGTATTAGGCATATCACATTTTAAGATTTTCAATTTTAAAACATTTTAAACATTACAAACATTTTATAAATATCTTCTTGATCAGCATCGTATAAGTTATTAATTTACATGAAAAACAAAAAATATGTTTAATAACACTTGTAATAATATATTTACACTTGAACTGTTGACTCACAAGACGTTAAATAGGTAGGCTACATATAAAAAATGGTGAGTGGTGATCAATTTTGATTGGACACTCCAATCTTCATCAGACCCAATAGGCGAACATTCAATGTTTTATTTTTTGTTTTTCACAAAACATTTTATGTAGGCTAGTTAAATTTTTTCAAATTTATTATTGTTTTCTGAAAAAATTCATAATGCTTAATTAAATATTTTGTGAATATAGTGTGTTTAAAATGGTTGGCGGCGATGAAGAAGCTGTTGAAGAGCCGCAGGTAGACCTCCTGGATCAGCAAGAGGACAACACTCTTTTGACAACTTTTCAAATCAAACCAAGCCTTGATGAAAAGTGAGTATTGATGATGTCTACGGATCAATGATCAAATAAAAGATTTTCCAAATGTGGCCAACAGTAGCTGCCCTAATCTTTGAAGAAGTTAAGGTAACAATGTTCTCCATCTAGCATTGCAACAATATTTTACGAGGGACTTTTTCTTACTTTATGGAACCAGGCCTAAAGATTTTTTATTTTAGGCCCCTTGTTCATTTTCTTTTTAAAATGTTTTAACTCTTCAGCATTTTGTAAGTTAGCCTACATTATATATAGATTTTATTGCTTACAAATATTTAGACAAGAACCAATGAGCGGCAATTAAATTACTCTGGAACACTATGGCAAATTAAGTCCCCTCAGAGTCTAATTGAATAGTGTGCAGAGCAAAAATCTGATTTGGACGTATTAGTTGCTTCATAATTATTCCAACTTTGGGTGAATGTTATTAGAGCTGTTTATAAAAGCTTTGACTAACTTATTAATACAAACTCAGTATCCAATAGCCTATTCAATGATAAAATGCCTTCTAAGCAAATATATATTTTATAACTGTCCATTTTTGTCTGTATTTTTAACGCATAGGGATCATGGTTGAATATAATAGTAGCAAGTATATTATTTGGCCTGAGATGCTTGAGGAAACAGTTTTAGTTGGGTACGCAGATGATGTTACGGCTTTAATAGCTGCACATTGCGTTGAGCTGGCCAAGCTGAAACTGAACCGAGCCATTCGCACCATCAACGCATGGATAGCAGACAACGGTCTCTCACTCGCTCTGAGCAAAACCAACATAAAGATTCTGACCAAAACGAGGATTGACACCATTGTGCCGTTGAGGATGGAGGACTTTGAAGTCCGAACTGTTTGTACTGCCAAGTACCTTGGGTTCATGGTGGACAGTAAGCTTAGCTGGCTAAGGTGGTTTAATGGCCAATGTCCGCGGTCCAGTTGCAGAACTCTGTTGATGTCTACAGTCCAGTCCTGTACTCCTGTACGATGCGGAAGTGTGGGTAAGCACACGTTCAATAAGGAGGTATACAGAATGTGGCTTGCCAGATAGCAGCGTCCGCGTACAGAACAGTGTCTAAACCCAGCCATCCTGTTGGCCTTTGGAGTCATCCCCGTCAAACTTTTGGCGGTTAAGAGAAATGCAATTCATCAGTGGTGTGGAGAAAACCAGGCAAGAAGAGGTTAGTGCACCCGCACCTACCAGCTCTGGCAGGAGAGCTGGGAACAGGAGACAAGGTTCAGCAAGTCCAACCTTCGGTTGATAGGCGGTACGGAGAGGTGGATTATTACCTCACCCTCACAGGACATGGATTATTCCGGTCATACCTGTTACAGATTAGCAAAGCTGTGTCACTTGATTGCATACTGCCCGGGCACTGATGACGTGGAACACACTTTTTCCGCTGTCCGTGTCAGGAACGCCCCTGTTGAAGAAGGCTCAACGCAATGTAGGGCTGTTGTCAGTGAACATGGTCCTCCCAATGATGATGGAGGATGAGGACAATTAAACATGTGTGTCCCATCATAGACAAAAAGAATGAAATATAGACCGTCAGCTGTGCTGCGGTTACCATAGGTTCTGGCGCACACCGCTTGGAGCACCACGGTAGTTACGGCGTACGCGCTACGTAAACTACAGCGGTGTGCGCCGGAACCTATGGTAACCATGGCAACCGCAGCACGGCTGACA